CAAAAAATAAAAAAAAATTTTTAAGTTCAAAAACCGTGTAAATTTTTTTTTTTTTTTCAAAATTCCTGTTTTGGTTGATTTTTTTCTTTATTTTGTTTTTATGTTTAAGTTTTTAATGTTTTTGGTATTTTATTTTTAATTTAATTATTTTTAAGATTTTTATCATATAATTTTGTGGTGAAAGTCTTTTTTATTATTATTGTTTTCTTCTAAAGAATTTTCATAAATTCCAAAAAAGCAAAATCACAAGATTTTTTTTTTTTTTGGCAAAAATTACATTTCCATAAAATATTTAAAATATTTTATTTAAAAAATAATTTTTCTTGTTTTTTTTTTTTGAAATTCTAGAATCATAAAAATTAAAATATATTTAAGGAGAATCGGCGCATTAAATGACAGTATGGTGATATTTTTATTGATGTTTAATAAATTTTTTAATATTTAATGCTTCATTCATAAGAATAAAAATATTTAAAGAATTGTAAAATTAAAAATAAGGCAAAAATATTTAGAGTTGTTCATGTCAACTTTGTGATATCGGTACAAATGAATTATTTCATGTGACATCTTGTTATTTAAATGACCACATAGAGCTCATTACCATCTCAAAAATTTTTTTACTGTAAATAATGACTATAATATCATATTGGTTTACGCAAAATTTCAATATTGTATACCTTAAGTAGTTTCCATGATATATTACCAAATTATTATTGATGTTGTATGAACTAGCTACTGCAACAAGAATGAAGAAATTTTTATTTTATAACAGTCACAATAATATATTTGCTTGTTCGAATTCGATATTATAGTTTAATAACATATGTTTAACAGTTGTAAGGTAGCTGTACCGGTATCACTATCCCGATCACATACAATTGAAATCATTTGTGAAAATTTTAATTCTATTAGGAGTTGAATTCATGGGGCTCAGAAGCAAAATGGCCTAAAAAATGTTTACTTTTATATTAGAAATTTATATAAAATGAGGTCCCAAATTTAATTTTATCGACAAAAAAGTCAAATATTTTTTAACCTAAAACCAAAATTTAATATTTTCCAGTGCAGAAGTGCTTCAACCCACATAACGTATTGTAATAAAAAATTGTTGAAATGAGGGTTAGCCCAGACTTTGTTTCTGAGCCTCTTAATTATGATTGGGACGAAAAGATATACTCAAATCGAAAATCACAATTCAAAACTATTCAAAAACATATACTTGAGTCAACCTATTGTTTCCAAAAACTTACAAATGAAAAGGCAAGTTCATGATACCTTTGAAACATGCCGATTTAATAAAAATTTACTAAATTAGTAATTTTATTACGGTGTCAGGTTTTAAAAAACAAAAACAAAAAAGAATATGGCCTAAAAATATTTATTTTTATTTTGTTTTTATTACGCACACTATTAATTAGTATAATAATTCGGAAAAGAAAAGGAATACCAAAATAAATTTAAAATATTCAAATTTCCCAAAAAAGGGAATTTTTTGTTTTTTATATTACAAATTTTAAAATTAATTTTTTTTGCAAATATTCAATTTCAAATACAAAATATAGATCCCGTATATGTGAATTCAAGTAATATGATGAAAAATCCGAATTCGGAGTTATTTAATTTGCAATTTCTTTTTTATTATTATTAAAATAAATGAACATAGGACAAACAGTAGGATATCAAATGAAACACCTAAAAAATTATTGTTTTAAATTTTAATATTTGTTTTTAATATTTTAAAATGGTCCCGTTTTTGGACATTGACTGCAACTCTAAATTTTAAAATTTCCCTAAAAAATAAAAAAATGAGTTTCAATGTGTCAAATTTATGATACCTAGCAAAAAAAAGTATTTAAGAATAATATGACAGTTAAAAAATTTATGGCTAAATTATTTTTTTTAAAATTTGTAACCCGGTCTACATTACACTTGTGTCTACATTCCGTAAAGGAATTCCACGGTAGTGTTGTCTCAGCACTTAACGTTAAATTGAGAAGTCTCGTTCGTTGCACTATTTCTGTCTTATTCATCTTTTCTACATGTTGAAATGCCCTATATGTCTGGTGGGAAAGTTCCTTATTTCATCACTTAGCTCGAGGACACCAAAATCCCTCTGAATATCACTATTCCGTATACAAATCCAGAGAGCACTTACCGTATTACAATTGATCTTGTTATGAAAAATTTGTATTTGTCTGATATGTGTTTGCTTAGTACTACCCTATAGTTGTACATCATGTAGATTTCATTTTTTTAGCTATATATGTGTCAACACTTTATTGTATATTACCAATTTAAAGCTAAGACATATAGGTGCCAATAGCTTTCTTAACATTTGTTTTCTAATTTTTGATATGATCTTGATATTTTTTCTTCTTTCCATCTGAACTTGACATCCAAAAATCATGCTTTGAAACTTTGCTATATTTTGGATTGATACTCTGTTATATTTTTATTTTGCCCATTTATTTATTTTATTAATTGCTTCCTGTAATTTTATTGCATTGATTCTTCAAAATTAGATCCCTATTGCCAATATTGCTATATTGTCGGCAAATGTAGCTACAATTACATTCTTCTATTCTGGCAAATCGCTTAAGTAAAGTGTATATATAATATAGGAGCCAGAATACTGCCTTGGGCCACATCTTAAATTTAAAAACTCATATTCGTATCAATTAAAAAGTTATAATTGCATTCCCAGTCTCTATATGATTGCAGTTGTATTTCTAAAATTATTCGAAAATTTCTTTTTCCTAAATTCGAAAATTTTATTTAATAACATATTCACAATAATTACTCACCATTTTTAATATGTGATTTTTATTCAATTTGATTTAATTGTGAATTATTTAAATCGCTCTCAAATCGATCACAAATAATTTTTTTTTGTAAAATAACACTTAAATTAGATTTTGATGTGAAATTTAAATTTAAAATTATTTTACAAACATAAATAATTTTTAAAACTCGTTCTCTGCATTTCATTATTATTTTAATAACGTGATAATATTTAATTTAATCATGATTTTGACTAATAAATAACACCATTAAACTTGCATTGAAATGTTGATTTTACAGTTTGATTTTTGAAAGAAGCAAAAAAAAAAACCTGCCCAATCGAAATTATTAATTTGTGTTTTTGCTCTTTTCGTTCATATTATAATTATTAATCTAAAACACATTAATTAAATTTTAAATTTTTCGATATAATTATGTATGTATGTATGTATTCATTTATAGAAGAATTAAGAGAAAAAAAAAACGTGTAATAAAACGAACTTTTACGCATTCAAACATAACCATAGATCGTGTTTATTATTTGTGTGATGTATTATAGATGAAGGTTAAATCGGGTCAATGGCAGATCATTATGCTATATGTATGTATATAATATGTATGTGTTATACATATAAAAATGTACATTATATATATACGCATAATACAAGTTTATTCTTTATTATTTTATAAAATCAATTTACAAATTAAAAATTAAATTTTATTTTAAATTATTTTAAAGTTCATTTGCATTCGATACTCTAATTTGATTCTAACACTAACTAAATAATTTATTGCGTCAACTAGGAAAATTCTTAAATATTTGCTAGAATGAAGGGATAAAATTTAAAGCTATTAAAATTATATTGTGGAATAAGTGAAATTTTTAGTGAACAGGCGGCGCTTGCATAGAAATTTATGTATAAACAATTTAAATACTTAATTGACAACTGAATCAATTATTTACTTAAAACACAAGACTACTTTCAGAATATAGTAAATACGAATATAAAAACTTACCTCAGAAAATAAAATAAATTTATAATATTATGGAGGCGTCTTTATTCGTGCATTGCAAATCTTATTAATTACCGTTAACTATAGTTTTACCGTAAATTTTTCATTGCTTCTGTGTGAAATCAAAAGCATAGTTGATGAGTTCGTAAAATTCTCAAAAATTTCGAAATTTAATTTAATAGTAATTTCTTTTAAGAGTAACTAGCGACATCTATTTTTTAATGGAGAAAAACTAATATAATTTTTGGTGTTGAAAAAGGAATTTAGAACAATCGCAGAATCTTTGTATATTTTGGTTTTTTTTTATTTAATTAAAATTGTATTTAAAAGCCTATATGTGAAATATTAAATTGGATTATAATTAACCGTGAGAGTTTCTGAATAAGTACCTATTATTAATAATTTACACAATTATAAATGACAATAGTTTTTTAAACTTTCAGTAAAAACTCTTGTTAACCAATTTTTTTGCGTAATTATTGGTGGAAAAGTTTGATAACTAGTAATTTGGCAGTTATCCCTGCAGCGCACATGGAGTTTTTAATTTTACAATTGTTTTGTTGTTGATTTGCCTTGCATTTGTTTATAATAATGCTGCAAGACATTGTGTGCAGGTCTAAGTAAATGAATTTAATTTTTTGAATACATGAAAATTAAAGTAATGTCAGAACAAGTTGCAGACATTTTAAACATGAATTGTAAAAATTAATACAATTTTAATTGAATTCTGTTGAATGGGTTAAATTACAATATGCTATGTCAAATAAAAAGTAAAAAAATAAAAAACTTTTTCGAAAATGTACTAAAATTTCGAAATTTCAAATGTGACATTTAAAAAGATTTTCTCTTAATAAATAATAACAATATCAACAATTGACAGCCGGTTTTTGACAGTTTTACATAATTTGTTCTAATTTTTCATTTTTTTTTCTTCGTTGTTGCTATTTTGTTCAATTATTGATGTTTTAACATAAATATTTTTAATATTATTAAATAAAAATTTATTTTTAAAGTTTTTATTATTTAATTACCAATACAAAAATTTCAAAATAAAAACAATGTTCTCATTTCTAAAATCGAAACCTATTATTATTATGAGCTCACTTGGTGGTGCTATTGGTTTAGGATGTTTACTAAAGTAAATTGTGATAATTTAATATAAACGTGTACTAATTAATTAAATTAAAATTTTCAATATAACCAAGGGATCATATGCAAGGTGGTCAATTCCGTGATAAAATATCAGCTGAGGGTAAAGTTTGTATTGTAACTGGTTCAAATACTGGAATTGGAAAAGAAACCGTTCATGAATTAGCAAGACGTGGAGCTCAGATTTATATGGCATGCAGAGATATGGAAAAATGCGAAGAAGCTAGAAAAGAAATTGTATTAGATACAAAAAACAAATATATTTATTGCAGGGAATGTGATCTTTCTTCTTTTGAATCGATTCGAAACTTTGTCAAAACGTAAAATTATCATTTATACATTCCCAAATTTATAAATATGCATATTATGTAAAATTATATCCAACTTATTTAATTTTAGATTTAAAGCTGAACAAAATCGTTTAGATATTTTGATAAATAATGCAGGAGTAATGAGATGTCCAAGATCATTAACTAAAGAAGGTATAGAACTACAATTAGGTGTTAATCACATGGGTCATTTCTTATTGACCGGTTTACTTTTAGATTTATTAAAAGTAAGAAAAATCTTATCAAACCCGATTACTCCCTATATTAAATAATTTTCATTTTGTAGAGTTCCGCGCCAAGTAGAATTGTAGTTGTTTCAAGTTTAGCTCATACAAGAGGAGATATAAATGTTACAGATTTAAATAGTGAGAAATCATATGATGAAGGTCAAGCATATAGTCAAAGTAAATTAGCTAATATATTATTTACAAGAGAATTAGCTAAAAAATTGAAAGGAACTGGTGTTACAGTAAATGCATTACATCCTGGTATTGTTGATACAGAATTATTTAGGCATATGGGATTTTTTAATAGTTTTTTGGCAAAAATCTTTGTACGTCCATTAGTATGGCCATTCATAAAAACACCGAAATCTGGTGCTCAAACAACATTATACGTTGCATTAGATAAAGAATTAAATGATGTTTCCGGTGAATATTTTAGTGATTGTGCTCTTAAAGAGACAAGTGAACAGGCTAAAAATGATAATCTAAGTAAATGGTTGTGGGCCGTTAGTGAAAAATGGACTCAAATTAAATACTAACTTTTAATATTATTTTGTTTTTAACTAAATAAAATATAAAAAAAAAAAAGCATTTTATTTATTAAGCAATAAATTATGTTATTGTTAAATTATATTAAAATGGAAAAAATATATTATTTTATAGAAAATTTAATTTTTTACCTTTTCATTTAATTAAAATATATAAGTCAATTGCAGAATTTTTACAATTAGATGAAAATGTTTGTAATGTTCTGCATGAAAAGCCAAGGTAAAGAAATTTTAGTGGTTTGAATAAATCCTTTTAGCATAAGTAGCGGCATCTACACACGAAGAGCTAATATAATTTTGATGGTAAAAGACATGTAATTATTTGTATTATTGACTTACGAAAAGGATTTGAGCAAATTTGAACAATATGTAGTTTATTTTAGTAAAAAAAAATTTTGTTATTATAAAAAAAAAATTATTCCAAATAACTAATTTAATTTTATTTATAAATGTATCTTAATTATTCCATGTTTCTTACTAAAATAAATTTGTACATAATTCTATATGTGTAAACACTCATACATCAGATCTAGAAAGTCCAACGTGTTTTTGATGATTTTCTCAGAAAGTTAAATAAAAACTTCAAGTTTCCGAATAAGGGCTAAAATAGATATTTATTTTTACAATTTCTTTTAATTTCTTGGTTATAAAATAATGCTTATATTATTATTTTTACCTGTTAACTAAATATGGTGTGTAAGCAAAATAAATTTTTAAGCACGTGATATTATTAATGTATACATTTCAAGTATATGTATGTAAGTAATCAGTAATCATACTAATAATATATTTAATTCTAAATTATTTTATACAAAACTGATAATAAAATAATTTTAGTGACTATTAAATTTTTACTATTTTCAATAAAATAATCAAAATATTTTCTTATAATCAAATTTAATATTGTAAATGCAAATAAATATGTCAAAATTAGAAACGATTACTTTTTCACCTTGACGCGCTTCTTTTATTATCTATCAATTTTAAAACATTCATTCGTGGTATCTTTTTTTCTAAAATGAAAAAAAAAAAATAAAAAAATCCACCTTGTTTGCTTTTTCGAATTCATTTTTTTTTTTTACTAGTGGAGTTGTGGCTTTCATATCATCATCTTTAAATCAGAATTATTTTTGTGTGAAAAAATTTTTTTTAGTTTTTCGTTTTTTAAATAAAAAATCTAAAGTTAACCTTTATTTTTAATTAATTTCTTTTATTACGATTTTTTTATTCGAAATTTTATTTTGTTTTTTTTTTTCAATATCATAAATAAATTTTAATGGACGAAAATATTTACTTAAATTTGGTTATTATAAATATTAAAGAAATTAATTTAGTGTATAAATTAATAGAAATTTAGATCATCGTCGTGAAATATTAAAAAAAAATAAAAAATAAAAAAAAGTGAGGTAAAAAAAAAACAGAAAAGAAAAAAAAATAAAATTCCAACATTTTTTCATCTCATTTTTATTTTGTCACCATCACCACATTGCTGTTCGTTTCGTTCGTTTGTCAGTCAGTCAAAAAAAAAAATTCAGCAATATTAAAAGTTGAAAAAAAAAAAATTTATTATATGGTGGGGAAAACATTTATTAAAATCAAAAAAGCAAAAAAAAAAAAATAAAATTTTTGTTATTGGTGAAAAACTTCAAAAAATTCAACATACCTAGAAAAAAAATTTTAAAATAATATTAAAATAAAATTCAACATATCAACATTGTGCTTTTACGTCTTCTTATTTATTGCTGCATATACCCCTTTGGATTTCCGTTTTCGAAAATCGAAATTAAAAAAAGAGAAAGAACGAAAAGCAAAAATAAAACACCAACCAAACAAGTTTTTCTTTTTCGTTTTTTTCGTTTTTTATTATTATTTTTGTTTCACAACATTTTGACAATACTCAGCTGATCTATTTGAAATTTCAGTCAAAGATTGTTTTTTTTTTGTTTTTTTACCTGGTCTGATTTTTTTTTTTAAACAAAAATAATCTCATTTTGTTTTTGTTTTTCATTTTTCTCTTAGTTTGAATTTGACATTTACCGTGAACGGTAACGGGAAGAAAATATTTTTGTGGTGGAATTTTCGCGGACACATTCAATTCTCATTTCATTTGTACAAAATATAAATTTGCCATTTGGAATTTTTTTTTTTTTTTATAACAAGGAATAAAACAAATGAAATAAGAAATAAAAAAAAATCACCAACCAGAAAATTGTAAATTCGCATAAAGGTGGATAAAAGAATAATAAATATATCTACATATGTACATACAATACGTTCATACAAAAATTGTATGTATTTCTTTGGTTTCTATGTCAGGTGCTGTTTGCTATTATACAAATTGAATATCTACCTACATACCTATATTTTTTAAAAATACCTTAACCTGTTTTATTTTATTTTTTTTTTTTAATACAAATTCAAAATATCAGAATTTTATTATTGGATTAAAAACAAATTTTGTTATTAATTTTTGGTTTGAATTTTAATTTTTAATATTTTCTAAGAGTAAAAATATAATTAATTTGGAAATATATTCAAATTATATAAAAAAAATATATAAATTTAATTAAAATAATTAAAATAAAAATCGAATTCGAAAGCAAAAAAATTTTTATTAACCTCAAAAATTGCATAATTTTTTTTAGCAAAAACAAAATTTTTATTAATTTCTTTGATTATTTCTTTTCTTTATAATTATTTTTTATTGTGTAAAGTTCATACTTATAATAATAGGAATAAATATACCTACATCTCTATATATCTCTATTTTTAATATAAAAAAATAACAAAATAGAAAAAAAAGTGAAATATAAATTTTATAAATGAATAAAATATAAAAGTGATAAAATAACAGCAACAACAACAACAACAAGCAAAAAACATAAAATATAATAAAAAATTAATAATACTTTAGTGTGTGAAAATAAATTCAATTTAATTTCGGTTGTCGACACAAAATCATAACAAAACCTTTTCTTCTACATCCTTACATACTAATGTAATAGCATAGCATCTAATATTGAACATTTTTCTATCTTAAATTTTTTTTGCATCTTGAATAATTTATTAAAGGCATAAGAAATAAAAAATAAGCAAAACGGAATAACAAAACAACAAAAACAACAACAAAATAATTTTCCTGTACGTTTTCTTCTAGGACGTTTTACATACAGCATAGATTTCCAAATTCAATTGGCATACGGAGTATATTTACCTAACCTTAAAAAAAATTACAATACATAAGAGTACAATTTTGGTGAGAAGGATTCAGAAAATAAACCAAGAAACCAAGATAATATGATATTGTAAAATATTAAAGGAAATCAAATTATTTTTTTTATTTTTTTTGGTTCCGAAATTTGTGAGACTATTGGTGGTCATTTTGGTTTTAACAAAAAAAATCTAAAATATTAGATTATGCACTTAAAATAACAAAAATCAAGGAAAATAATCAAAAAAGGAGAAGAAACAATTTTTTAAATGAAGATCACCACACATTATTGAATCTATCAGTAGAGAGAGAATCCGAAAAAAAAAGAAAAGAAGAAATTTTTGGTTGTCATTTTGTTTGTTACCTTTATTTTTTTTTTTTTTTTGTTAACATTTTATTTGATTTGCTTTTGTTTTCTTGATTGCTTTCAATTTTTGGAATCTACATTAAGTATTGAGAAATAAAGCATTTTCATTCAAAAAACGTACAACAATATTATTAAATATTTAAAATATTTACAAAAAAAAAATCTTTAATTCAATTTACATACGTAAATTTTGTATTCGTATACAAAATAGAGAAATCATCAACAGAATACAACATTCATAGCATCCAATATAATTATATATACTTACATACCTGTTCATCATCTACATTGCAGATTAGAAACACAACGTTTCATCATTTCAGAATAAAATTTATTCTAAATATCTTAATTGGAAAATTAAATATTTACATTTAGATATTCGATTGTTCGATTTTTTTGTTATTTGTATTTGCATTTGAATACAAGAGAAGGAGTGATACAAAAAAAAATAAAACACAATGGAATCAATGGAATATGAGATGGCTAGAAATATGACACTATTATTCTTTTTAGAAAGATTATTAGATAAAGGTGAACCAAGAACAGTACATGATTTATCATGTCAATTTGGTGCAAAAGGTTTTACCAAAGAAATGAGACAAATAGCTGGTGGTAGTCAATCAGGTAAGGAATACCTACATATGTATTTTTTTTTTTTAAATTATAATTAATTATACAAATATTGTAATATAGGCATCTAAATTGTTTAGAATTCGGGTAGCTTACTCGTATAATATGTTTATGTATAAAAATTTAATTATCACATTGAATATTTTTTCTTTTTAGAATTTTAACAAAAAAAATGAAAAAAGAATTGTTTGGAAAATCAATTTTATGTGTGTACACAAGAAATCTAAATATTTTTCAATTCTATTGTATAAGGTCTGAAAAGGTTATACTTTCTGGTATATTTTGTTCACTAGGATATTCGGCAGTATGTGCTTTTTATTAATTTCTAAGAAATTGTTTAATATTAAAAATATTAGACATTATTGTTGCTTAGATCAAGAAGATTTAGCAATAATATACCAAAGAGGTAGAATGAAATATCATCGATATTGTTCCCAAATCAGAAATTGCAAATTTAATTTATAATCAGAATCAGAAATTGCAAATTTAATTAAGTAATATTTTAATAATTTATCGGAACAAGAAGATTATAAGTTAATTATTTAAAATGGAAGAGAGTGATAAGACAAATTTAGTATATGAAAAAAAAATAATGAATACAAGAATTAGAACAATTAAGAAATCACAAGATTATCTTGAAATGTGTTGAAAAAAACAACCCGGCTATAATATTTTGTGAGATAAGAGTACCATTATCAATATAATAGGATTAAAATAATATTAAAAAGCTAGAGTTCCATATAACATGAAATCTTTGTGACAGATTCATTCTTACCGTAATCAATACTGAAATAGCAAGTATCAAATATTTTAAAAGGCCTCAAGTTTGTTATGAATATTACTGAGAGAATTAATTACTCTTCAATACATATCTGATATATAATGAACAAATTTGAATTGAATAACAAGATAAAAAAAAATGTACTCTACATTCTACAGTATCAAAAATTTTAAGTACTTAAGGCAATTAATTATTTGCATAAACTTAAATTAGGAATATTTTAAAATTATAAGTAGAATATAATTGTAATCAAATCATAAAAATAGAATTCTGTAATTATAATTGATCTTTTGTTGTAAGATTTTAGGAGATTTACTTTATTAAAGTCTTCTTTTCCAAGCCAAGCCCCAATTTAATGTGTTGATTACTAAAATAGTACTGTTGAGTTTTAAAAATAGTAGTTATTCAATTATGACTTTGTAATATGAAAATTCAAAAATTTTCTTCATAAATTCATTTAAAATATAATTTCCGTGTTTTTTTTAAAATTATAATTTTTAGTTTCATGTAGTTATTTACTAGTTACTTACTAGTTTTCCATTTAGATGAAAGAATGTGTTGTAATAAAAGTAAACTCGTGATGAAAAAAACATGTTTTGCATAATACTGGTATCAATGATATTCTCTTGAATTTAACCATCAATTACTTAAATAAATATTTGAATTTTATTTATATTTTGAAGCTTGTGTTGTCACTGAAAGAGTTTAACCTAAAATATCTTAGTATTTATGTATTGGAATTTATCATTTTATTGTCTCTAATTACTTATTTAACTGGTATTTTCCAAAGAATATAATTTAAACATTCACTTGTTATAACTGCTTATGTTTAGATATTTATTGTCATTATGAGTAAATACTGAAGAAATTTATAATGAAATTTTAGTAATTTAAATAAAATTTTAATAATTTTCTTATATGATTACTTTAAATACTGAACTCTATTTAGTTTTAATATTCTGATTAAGTATATTGGAGCTTCGAATTTTGAATTAATTTTGAATTTTTTTTATTCAATTGAATTTTATTTTATAAATTCTTATATTTCAAGTAAACAATTATTAATAATTATTGTTATTGAAATTTAAAATATGATTTTTATTGAATAAGTACTTACTTACTTGTAATTGACATGGTTGGTCTATCAGAATTTTATTAAAATATTGAATTACTTATTTAACTTGAATTAACTACTTAATTATTTTATATATAAATAAATTGAATTTACATCATAATTATTTATTTTAAAAATATTTAATTACTTAAACATATCATTTAATATTTCTCTATCAGTTACCATCAATTATTTATTAAAAAATTAAGTACTTACCTATTGAAATTTGATATTTTTGAGTACTTAGTTTGTTATATTTGAATAACTCAGTCATTGAATTCATGGAATCTGCATGATATAGGTATATATACAGTTAGGTGGTTGTGTGGTTAATAATTTTATGAATGGAATGTATGGTTGGTAATATAAAATATATATATATATATATTATTTCAAATTAAAATAATTAATCACTTATTCATTGTACATATTCTATGTTTATTAATTGATTTTTTTTCATTTTTAGCATAAAAATGTCATGTATAAATTTAGATTTGTCACATAGTGACAAGACAATATAGAAATGTGTATAGAAGTAGAAATATTATGGGAGTACTTGCATACCAAATTTATATGCATTGAGGAGTAGAAGCCCCCCCTCATCTCTTAAGAGTTTTCCTTTAAGTTTTAATTAAAAAATTATTCTTATTAAATTCTCTCTTGAATTTTTATAATTTCAATAATTTTTTTTGTATGTTGGGGCAAGTGCTTATCTTTTATAATTTTTTACAATCCTATTACACTAATTCATAAATTATAGCTTTTACATTTGAATAAGTAAGTGTGTTCAAATTTTCATTAAGAATTTTTAATTAAGACTTAGCAAATTTCTTTTTTCCGGTCCAATTATTTAATACTCTCCTTATATAAAATAAATGCGAATGAATTAATTAATATTCTCTTTTTAGGACAAAATTATTTGTAATTAAGTATTATTAGGTACGCACGAAATGCATTTTAAATCAAACATTATGAGGGCCTTAAATCTTGAATTTAAATGGAATTCTTGTAGTATTTAATAAAACATTATAGCCAATCTTGTTTGTAACAAATTATCGCATCTATATAAAATCAAAATATATACATACTTACTTACTGTATAAACAATGTTAAGTTAATTTTTTACATTCTCATTTAACTAAACGATATCTAAATTATAGTTAACATGCAACGCAATATCTCATTTTATTATTTTCAATTCATTCCCTTTTCTAATTAAAATTCATATACTCGTAGTTTTGAGGCGAAAAGAGTAAAAAATACATTCTGTTTTTTGTTTTTTTTTTTGTGTGAAAAACAAAAATCATTTCACTTTTTCAATTAATACACGCGGTACTTGTTAGAGTAGGTATATATATGCAATAAAATCGTGCAGTGTGATGCAACCAACATAATTTGTAAACAAAAAACTAAAAATAAAGGCAATGTGCATCACGTCAAAAATAGAAAAACGAAAATAAACAAAAAACCCTTTGTAATAAACAAAACCCTCTGTAGTCTTTATTTTAATATTCAAGTATAATTTTTATATTTTTTACACTTTCAACATAAAAGTGAGAAATAAAAAAAAAATTTCCTTCTGATTTTTCACTTTTTACACCTTAAAACAATGAGTTGGTACATAATGTGTGTGTGTGTGATTGTAAATGGAAATTGTAATCAATTCTCTTGATTTTGTATCATTCATGTTAAACAGGAAAAAATTTCAATACTAAATGGGAAAAAGGAAACGAATGAGTGAATTCAAAAAAAAAAAAAAGGTGTGTGAGAAAATTGTAACCTTTTTTTTTCTCTGTGTCTTAAATCAAATATTAAAGAGTTTTTCACAATTTGAGTGAATAAAAAAATATTGCAGTAAACTATTGTTTAATGGTAATATCATGAAAGAAAATAATTAAATAATCGACAATTATTATTTAATTAATTAATCAGCTTTAAGATGCTACATATGCTAAAGAAATAGAGATAAGTTTAATGATAATTTTTATAAGTTCATTGACAGTTCAACTTTCAATTTTATTACGTTTAAATAAAGTGAGGTTACGTAGTTAAGACCAATTACCCTTATTATAATTGGTGAAGCGAATGAACTATTCGAATTGAATGACATTTCAAATTATGATTAGCAAATAATTTTGTTCGCCAGGTTTAAAACTTTGCTAGGTCAAGCCATTAAAAAATGACATTATGGTAACTTAAAAATAGATAAGATGTTTAAAAAAAAAGCTTGTCATACAGAATTGTCATTCGGGAATTTTGACAGCTTATCATTCGCTTAAAATTTTGGTGATATTAAAAATTCATATTCGGCAGAAAAATGCTATTCGTTGCGCCCATTATATACATAATATGGGTAAATAAGTAATATGTTATTAATTGCTGTTATAATAGTTATATAACATTTGTTAATTTCTGTTACAATACTTCGATAACATGTCAAAAATAATATTAGAGTCGCGTATGAATTATATAGGTGTCCCATAAGTAGATAGATTACAGTTTGAGCTCTTCATACGCCTCAAAATAGAACTAGTTGAAAGTTACACTGTAGTGAACCCATCCTATCATTGACTCTCGGACATCCTGAATATTTCGTCGCTAACAATTTATAAAAATTTTCATGATATACTTACTTACATTTTCAATATTTAACAATGTTACATAATTTCAATAATTATTTCATGAATTCAATTCAACATTGGAAACGATGGCTTCTAAAATAGCTCTTTTGAAATACTTTATAAAAAATCCAATTAATTTGGTTATCTTAATTATCATTAACCCTTTAAAATATGACGTCCTAAAAAATTTAAGAAAAATATTAAGGTCATTTATATGTATACCAAGTATTTACTTATATAATTGAATTTACTCTAAGATTTTTTGAAATTTTTAAGCTAACTATACAAAAAATAAATTACACATACTTGAGTATTTGAACTTTAGTGTTAATTCTCGAACATATTAGATAAATATTTCAATATTTTATATAATAAAATTTTAATATTGAAAAATAACAATCTAAAGAGGTTAATTACCATGTTTGAGTTGAATTTACAGAAAAAAAAACGAAGCTTGTAAATTGTTACACGATTAAAT